CACCCCTACCATAGACCATGGATAACCATTTCTTTCTGAGGGAATGTATTCTGTTAAAGGATGGTGGAAACTGTCAAAAAAATGTAGAAACTTCGTATGTACCATCATGGAAAGATGTCCGTAAGATATTTTATCTTATTTTTAAAGATTTATTTATTTATTTGAGAGAGAGAGAGAGAGAATCTTAAGCAGACTCCCTGTTGAGTGTGGAGCCCTTTGTGGGGCTCAGTCTCACAACCCTGAGATCATGACCTGAACCAAAATCAAGAGTCAGACGCTTAACTGACTGAGCTACCCAGGTGCCCCCATAAGATATTTTTAAAGGGGGGAAAGTAGAAAAATGTACAGAACAATATTCAGAATATGATCCCAATTCTGTTAAAAAAAAAAAGCGGGGGGGAGTATATCTATATATATTCATAAGGGGAAGGCATTAGGTCTGGAAGGAGGAAGGTCATACCTCAGACCTTTAAAAGGGGCTTCCTCTAAGAAGAATTAAGTAGTGTATGGGAAACGTCTTAAGGCTGTGGTTTTCAAACAAATTCTGTGAACCACAGAGATATTTTGGAAATAACTGGGGTGCCTTGGTGGGGATGGGAGAGAGTTGGAGGTGCCCCAGGTTCTCCAGGCCTCCCAACTTCCTGCTTTGTGTAGAAGCTACATTTTAACAAATTTGTTTTACATTATTGGGGTTTACATTAAAAAAAAAAAAAAAGGATTTCTGCTGCTTAGAAAAAAAATAAAGGTTATAAACCAGAGCACCAAGGGAAACTACAATTTTCAGTTCATCCCAACCCAAAACATGAAATCAGTTGGAGTTACTAGTCTGTCAGTAGATGCAGGATTTATATTTCTGGTTGCATTTGATGTTAGTTTATCTGGGCTCTGGTGCAAGGGATGAATTAGAGCAGGGGGTAGGGTGGGGGTTTGGGAGGTGGGTGGTAAACACCGTCAGAAAGAAGGAATTAATTAAGATTCAGGAAGAGAAGGAAGACTGAATTCACCTGGGGGGTGGGTGGGGCTGTGAGAAAGAGGCCCTATCAGTTTACTGGGGAGGGAGTTGGGCGGTTTCCCACTTATGGGAGAAGGGGAACTATTTTACTTCATTCAGCGTGGGATTTTCACAGAGCAACTCCCAATTCCTCAGGTCAGGGTCCCTTCCCCTTTAGCACCATTCTTGGGGGCAGCATGACTCTCCATAAAGAACCAAGGCCTTGAGGTGCCTGGGTGGCTCAGTTTTTAAGCGTCTGCCTTCAGCTCTGGTCATGATCTCAGGGTCCTGGGATCGAGCCCCACATGGGGCTCCCTGCTCAGCGGGAAGCCTGCTTCTCCCTCTCCCACTCCCCCTGCTTGTGTTCCCTCTCTTGCTGTCTCTCTCTGTCAAATAAATAAATAAAATCTTTAAAAAAAAAAAAAAAAGAACCAAGGCCTTATATGCCTGCGTGTTCTTCATTCCGCCTATGTGTGGGCAATGCAGTTCCTGCAACAGTGGCCTCAGGGCTTTTGCATGAACCCTCCCCTCTGGTGAGGACACACCTAACACTTTTCTTGGCCTAGACAACATGCACTAGAGCTTGGCCCGGCTGCTCCAGGGACCTGAGCACTGAGTCCTCTCTTGGGTACAAGTGGAGAAATAGCCACCAGTATATGTTCAAACAAACAAATAAACCTTGGGAAAAAGAAGAAAAGCAAGAACAAAATGAAAGAGAAGAGGACAAGGAAGTGGGAGGAGGAAAAGGAAGAGGAGCAAATAAAGAATAGTGTTGGGGAGACGTGGTCCAAGAAGGGAGCTGGGGAGAAACCTCGCTGGGCATCCAGCGGCGTGCTGGTCTACCTGGCCAGTCCCTGTGGTGTCAATACTCCCATCATGGCTGGTTGATTTGGATGTCAGTGGATGTGGAGCTGGGGAGAGTTGCTGGGAGGAGATGCACACCGTTGGCTCTCATGAGCCTCTATGACCTGTATGCCCTGGCTCCGAGCTCCCCCCTGTCTGGATCCCACAGAGCACATCAGGGAACTCCTAAAGCAACCCACCCACCAAAAACAGCAAAAGGAGGGGAAGAGCAGATAAGAGGCCCTCTCCTATGGCAGAGTGTGCTGCTAGTTACAACAGGTTGAAGGGCTCAGACCTACTTTGGATTCCAGCAGGTGATCACAGGCTTCATGGTGTGGTGGGTGTGGTCGATAGTCAGGGCCTCCAAAAGCCAGTGGAGGGCACAGAGCTGGCGGAAGAGGGGCTCCCTGCAAAGACAGAGGCGGGAGGGGGGAGCACAGTGGGATCCTGTTGGAACTACATCCTTCACAATAATGGCCACCGAGATAGTTGTGCTGGCTTGCAGTTAGAGAGCTGTTGCCCTGCTCCAGGCATGGTATTTCCTATTCCTCATCTCTTCGAGTCTTTGCAATGTACCCATGAGGTATTCATGGGCCTATGTTACCCATGAGGAATCTGAGGCTCAGGGGAGTGAAGGAACGTGGGCCAGGTTGCTGACCTAGCAGGTGGCAGAGCCATGATTTGACGCAAGACCACCCTATGCTGGTCATGGGGTGGGGGGGGGAGGTTTCTGTGTAGGAGAGGAGAAACAATGGAGGGGTCCCCCAGCTAGAGGTCTTGACTTAGGCAAAATGAATGGGTTGAAGGACATTCATATCCTGCAGGTACCTACCTGTTCACCTGATAAAAGTACCATAAATACACTAAGAGTGTCAAAGAAGCCTGGACACACAAGGAAACTGGATTTATTATAATCTTCCTCCTACCCCAGACCAACAGTTGGATCCATTGTTTTAAATTTATAGGTCCTTTGCCTGCAAATATAGCTGGATGTTGAAGAAAACCACATTGAACCTATTATTTGAAAATGTAACTAAAACACTGTATAAAAGCATATCTAACCTGTATTTTCTGATTTGGGGTGGCATCTTGTATTACAGGGAGCCAGACATTGAGTAGGGCACCTTACACATTTTATGTAATTCTCCCAACAACCTGCAGGGGTATGAATCATTGTCCACATTTTAAAGAAGAGGAAACTTAAGGCTCAGAGAGATACTGTTACTTTGCAGTAGGTCACACAGCTTGTTGGTGACGGAGGTAGGATCTGAATATCTCATTCAATGCTCCCAACAACCCTATAGGAAGGGTACTGTTATTATGCCCTCTTTGTGGGCGAGGGACTTAGGTAGGGAAGTTGCTCAAGGTCACATTCCTAGGATTGGTGAGGATCTGAAGCCCTGTTTAACCCCAGAAGCTGTGCTTTCATGGGCCCCAGCTCTGTCTGAGGTGCTGATGAAGGCGATGCAGTGGTCACCTGGGGCGTGGGGCCAGGAGAGGGTTAACCTGCTGCCTGCATTTTTCCTGGAAACAAGGTGGAGTCCTGACCGGCCACCCCCTCCCTGCATAATCTCTCCTCTTACACTAATGGGTGAAATGCCTCCATTATGAACCTGTGTAATTGCTCTTCTCTGAAGGTGGAGCCCAAGTGTGGAGCTGACCCCAGGGTTGTCCCATTGAATCCCTTGAGAGGCGTCCCTTTTTCTCAGCTTGAAGCAGAGCTTCCCCTACTACCCCACCCCTCACTCCCTCCAGGCTGGCCATGCCCATTGGGTCTTAGGAAAACCAGGGTCATCAGCTCTCTCTTTCTTCTGCGCTGGAGCCCTTCCTTCCTCCTTTCTTTCCACACATTATTTACTAACACCTACTCTTCCCTCATTTCTAATTTAAAGGTACTGCAAGCCCATAGCCCTTCCCATTCTGGTCCGCCTTCCCCCTTAGCACCACCTCAGTTGTTACAGGTGCATTTCAGCAGCTCTGAGCACTGGGCCATGTCCAGCATTTCGCCAAGAGCAACAGCTAGTTCCTGCCATGTGCCTGGCACCCCACGTTACCCTCACCATAACCCAGGACATTGCAAAAGTCCCAGGGATGTGTCCCCTCTTCTGGTCACCATGGAGAGCCCCTGTCAGCCTGGGCTGTGGGTTGTGTGGGGTGGAGGCTGGGAGGAAGGGATAAGCAAAGAGGGTTAATTGGTGAGGTGGGGTCTGCTTGGTCATGGCGGGGATGGGGATGTGTGGGGCATGTGAGCATCAGATTCATTTCTACAGGTGACAAGCACAGGCATAAACCTGACTCTATCCCTCCCTTGCTTAAAATCTTCAAACTCTCCACACCATCTGTTTTGGGCTACATTGTGTCCCCCTCAAAATTCAGATGTTGAACTCCTAACCCCCCAGGACCTCAGAATGAACCCATATTTGGAGATAAGGGCTTTGAAGTGGTGATTGTATTAAAATGAGGCCCTAATTAGGGTGGGCCCTAATCTGGTCTGACTGGTGTTCCTTTTGAGAAGAGGAAATTTGGACACACAGAGAGACACCAGTGATGCACGTGCTGGAAGGAAGGACCATGTGAGGACGCAGGGAGAAGGAGGCCTCAGAAGAAACCAACCCTGCTGACATCTTGATCTTGGACTTCCAGCCTCAGGAACAATGAGAAAATGTATTTCTCCTGTTGAAGCATTTTGATATGGCAGCCCTGTCACCTGTGAGAGTCCTATCCACCTCACCATCCTTGAGTCTCCCCACGGCCCCTCTTCTGCCTTCTGCAGCCTGGGCAAGTTCTACTCGGTTGCTCAGGCTCACCCCACTCTCACTTTGCACTGCCTGAGTTAAAATCCAAGCTTTGCCACCTACTAGGTATGTGCTCTTGGCTAAATTACTTAACTTCCCCGAGCCTCACTTTCCTCATCTATAAAATGGCAGGAATTGTTAGAGTGAGGGTGAGAAGAGGTGGTTGGGACTGTTCTCTGCTCTGATATATATATTCCTCTTCCTCCTCCTCCTCTGCCCCTCAGCTGAGATGTCACCTCCACCAGGAAGCCTTCCTTGATTTCTCCAGGTCTGGGTTAGGATCTCTTTCAGCATCCTAAAGCATCCCATCTTTATAGCATATCTCTTTGCCCCTACATTCCCAGTCCCCGCTCTGTTGTAAATACCTGTTTACTTGTCTCTCTAGCCCATGAGCCTGCAAGCTACAGAGTCTTGTCCACTACAGGTTACTGCTGGGCACAGAGTAGGCTCAGTATATTACTGGCTCCTGAATGGAAGGTAGTGGTCGTGAACTGGTTCAAATCTGACATTTTCTGGAGCTGATAACGGGCAGCACCACTGAGATAATGAAGAGTAGTTGACAACAACAAAATAATAATAGCAAACACGTCCCACGGAGCATTTACACTGTGCCAGCAGACACCATGTTAAGTGCTCTACATATGTTGACTAAGGTCATCCCTGTGAGGAAAGTATCTCCATTTTGCAGGTAAGGAAACTGAGGCCATGTAACGTGTCCAAATTCAAAAGAGCCAGCAAATGGCAGAGCTTGAATCTTAGCCCAGGCAGTCTGGTTTCTGAATCTGTGCTTTATCTGTGATATTGAAGTTGTCTCTTGTTACCAGGAAGAGCCCTCCCTTTGCACTAGAATAGGGTTTTGTCCAATGGGTCTAGACTTTATTCTCTATTTATAAGAAGTGCCTCACAAAAACCTGCACAAGGTGTTTATATATAGCAGCTTTATTCATAATTGCCAAAACTTGGAAATAGCCAAGATGTCCTTTAGTAGGTGGAGGGATAAATAATCTGTGGTACATACACCCAGACAATAGAATATTCAGTGCTAACAAGAAATGAGCTATCAGGCCATGAAAGGACATGGAGGAACTGGAAATGCATATGACTAAGTGAAAGAAGCCAACCTGAAAAGGCTACATAATGTGTGATTCTGACTGTGCGACATTCTTAAAAAGACAAAACTATGGAGATGGTAAAAAGATCAGTGGTTGCTAAGGTCGTGTGGGGAGGGAGGGATGAACAGGCGGAGCATAGAGGGTTTTTAGGGCTGTGAGAATACTCTGTATCGCATTATGATGGTGGATGCATGCCCTTATACATCTGTCCAAACCAACAGAACGCACAGCTCCGAGTGAGTCCTGATGTAAACTATGGACTTCGGCTGATGATGTTGTCAATGTAGATTCATTGGTTGTAACAACCACACCCCTCTGGTGGGGATGTTGATTAATGGGGGAGGCTGAGCACGGATGGGGCAGGGGTTGTAATGGGAATTTCTGTATCTTCTACACACTTTTGCTCTGAACCCAAGACTGTTCTAAAAAAAAAAAAAAAAGTCTTAATGAAAAAAAAAAAAGTGCCTCAAACCTGACAGTTGTTCATCTAATGTGCGGTAAAATAAACTGGAGGGGAAAAAAAAAAAAAAAAAAGGAAAGAAAATCCCTGGAGACATGCTTGACAGAAATCAGTACTTTCTCATAATGATTGTATGTCAGGTCATAGCACAGTATTTTGGATTTTACCAAGTTAAAAAAAGAGAGGGCATTTATCCTTGCGTCCAGAACTCCAGGTGAGCACACCTGAATAGCCCACACTATTGAAACTGCCATACCAGCCAGAATATGAGTGGCCGAAAAATTCCCCGAGAAGAAAATGTTTTGTGCTTTTACAAAGAGAAGTTGGAAGATGCCTACAAAGCCATTTCAAGCACCCCATGCCAACTGCCAAGGACAGCCCTGGACAGGTTGCAGGCATTGCTCTTGCTGTTGCGTTGCTTAGGGAAGGCTGGGAGGGGCAGCCTGTCATCTCAGAGAGGAAAGGAGGAGCTGTTTCTCATGTCTAGAGACCATTCCCCGCACCTTTTTCTAGATAAAGATCAAGTCTCCCTTGACATGATTGAATTGATCCCCATATGGTCAATCCAGAATATTCAGCCAGTTTGGGGCTCAGTTACCTTGGAGTGAAGGGACCAACCAGGCTCTGATCCACATGAGCTGATGTGATAACTGAGGATTTGATAACTGATCAGGCATGCCCTGCCCTGATGCCTTTTGGTAGACTGATTACAAAAATGTCCTTCCCTGCATCCATATACTTTGTAATGTGACTTTGCATCTTCCCCATCATGAGGTGGAAACTTTTCCCCATTCCTTGTATCTGGGCTGGCTTGATGCTTTGGCCAGTAGAATGTGGTGGAAGCGTCATTTTGTCCATTCTGAGCCTAAGCCTCAAGAGACTTTGGTGCTCGGGCTTTTGTTCATGGAACCCTTCCCGACTGCCCGGGCTAGCCTGCTGCATGATGAGAAACACGGGACCCTGTCACTCTTGTTATCCTAGCAACCAGTCAACCAACAGACCTGTAAGTGATGCCACCCCAGATAGCTGGCCTCGTGCATACCCATCATCTGGGCACACATACATGCACCAACCCAGCCAGGATTAGCCAAGCCAACACAGACCAGCAGAACCACCCAGCTGACCTGTAGACTTGTGAGCAGCAAAAAATGGTTATTGTTTTAAGCAACTCCATTTTGAGGTATTCAGTAATACAGCAATAAATGACTGATACACTCACCAAATGCAGCCAGAGCCTTTTAACAGCCAAGGAGAAGAAAGGGCAGTGTTAGCAAACTATAGCCAGTGGGGGCTACTGTCTGTTTGCAAATAAAACTTTATTGGAACACAGCCACATCCATTCATTGCAGCTTTCGTGCTGCAACGGCAAAGTTAAGTAGTTGCAAGAGAGGCCATCTGGTCTGCAAAGTCTGAAATATTTACTGTCTGTCCCTTTAGGAAAAAGTCTGCTGACCCCTGGTCTAGGGTATAACAGAAACCAAAAACAACCACTGTGGTCGTCATCGTCGTCGTCGTCGTCGTCGTCGTCATCATCATCATCATCATCATCATCATCATCATCCTGGCCTACCTCACAAACCTGGTGTAAAGATCTGATTTAGGAGCGAGGAAGTCAGAGTTGCTGTCGGAAGAATTTTGGCAGGTTCTGCCCCACTCTGGGCTTCAGTTCCCTTATCTGGCATTGAAGGTAGATGAGTAAGGAACTGTCCCAATTACTTCCGAGGTTGATTAAGCCTCACCTTGTTCAGACCAAATGAATAGAGGGTGGGGCCCAGGAATAAGCATTTTCCAGGCATCATCCCCACTTCCGTCCTCGGAGGATTCACATGCAAGTGAAAGCTTAAGAACCACTGATCTACACCATTTGGTTTCAGAAGGTTTGTCCACAGGAAAGACAGGCAGAAGCGCAAGTGTTTCCAAGGGACATGATGAGAAGTTGCAAAGCCTATTTTTGCAAGGAGATGTTTTAAGAACATCAAGTTTAGGTTGCCAGTTAGAATGTCCCTGAACAAATGAATCAGATTTCTCTATCAAGAGATCAGGCAATCTCTATCAAGAATCCAATCATAATGTCAATCAAAGGGAAGTAGGAGGAAAATAGGGAGTAGGCTCATCAAAAGCTGGAATATTAGGGAGGGATATTGATGATGATGGTGATGCATTGTTTTACTCTTCAAGTACATGAGACTTGGCTCTCCAAATATATCATGAGCTCCTCAAAGGCAAGGCTTTGGGATATGCTTTCTGTGTAGTGCATGGTGATGAGCATTTGGGCTGTGAAGTCAGACAGACTTGGCTTAAAACCCCAGCGCAGCAACATGCTGAGCTCCGTGACCTTGGGCAGAGAGGCACACCTCTCTGATTGCTGCTTTCTCATCTGCAGAGGCGGGTAATAATACATCTATATAATAGGGCTGCTGAGAGAACTGAAGGGGATATGCCTACAGAGAAGTCAGTAATGCCATTATTACTGTGCATACTGTAGGCACCTAATAAATATTGGACAGATCAGCAGACAGAGAAGTCTACAATCCATTGCACCATTTTCATTGCCCTAAAGCAGTGGGTCTTAACACGAGGTGGGGGGAAGAGGGTGGGCATGATTTTGCCCCCAGGGGCCATTTGTCAACATCTGGAGACATTTTTGGTTGTCACAACTTGGGGGTGGGAAGCTACTGGTATCTAGTGGGTAGAGGCCAGGGATCTTCCAAACACCTGACAATACACAAGACAGTCCTTCACAACAAAAAATTTATTCATCCCCAAATGTCAGTAGTGCTGAGGTTGAGAAACCCTGCCCTAAAGTCAAAAGCTCTGTCTTTGCGCCTGAAATCTTCCAGTCGAAAAATGCTGTGACTAGCACAAAAGAAAACATTGGGTTTGGAATTCTTTGGAATAGACACAAGGGGAACAAGATGCCAAGGTTTTAGAAAGCCAGGGTGTTCTTTGGAGGCTTGATTAGCCCCTGTTACACCATGCCATGATGAGTTCATGCCTCGGGTCAGGAGACAACAGGTGCTTCTCTGGGAAATAGCTCCTTGAGTTTTGGGGACATGTTTTCCCCCAAACATGCCCACGCCCAGTGAGGGCTGCAGACAGATTTTATCAGGCTTTGCAAACTATTTGACATTAGAGCGTCTGGCTGGGTAAGGAACGGAATGACTCAGTCCCAGCTGATTTGCCACTTAGCTCTAAAGCACCGTGTCTGCTTTCTGTTATTTTTATATGCCAAATAGCGTTGCCAGCTCAAGGCTCTATGTCCCTTTCAGGAGGACAAAGGAACAGCTCAGTAGTTCCCAATGCATTGTTAGCTCCTTGAGTCATTTCACCTTGGCTTCAGTTGATAAGCTAGCAAGGCAGACGAGCCAGAGAAGGGACTACTTACACGTGAGCCTCAGGTAGCGAGGGCAAGATGATGCAGCTGTGCACGGGGGTGAACGGGCGAATGACTCCAGCGCCCATCTTCTTAACCTTCTCATCATCGTATGTGCTGGAGGAGAAGCAGAAAGAGAAACAGCGTGAGCAAGGAGCAGCAGGTTTTTTTTTTTTAATTTAATTTATTTGAGAGAGAGAGAGCGCGCATGCAAGCACACGAGCCAGGGGAGGAGGAGAGGGAGAAGCAGACTCCCCGCTGAGCAGGGAGCCTGATGCTAAGGGTCTCAATCCCAGGACCCTGGGATCATGACCTGAGCCGAAGGCAGATGCTTAACCGACTGAGCCACCCAGGCACCCCAAGGAGCAGCAGTTTCAAATACCTTCTTCTCTTGCCAGGGTTTATTTGGAAGATATGATTGGGCACCTACTATGTGCCAGGCAATAATTCTGGCTCAAGGGATGAGGAGGCTTCTAGATGCAGCCAATGGACAGATCATATAAAAACCTCTGCTCTCCTGGAGCGCATATTCTAGTGGAGGAACAAAGAGAATTAACAAGATAAACCGGGAAATGCTGTGGTGTATTAGCAAAGATTAGGGCTAGGGTATGTTTTCTGAAAGGGCCAGACAAACATTTATGACTGTGTCGGACATGCAGTCTATGTTGCAACTACTTAGTAGAATGAAAGCAGCCATGGACATATGGAAACAATAGGTAAATGTCGGTGTTCCAATAAAACTTTATTTATAAAACCAGCCTAGGGGCTGGATATGGCCCATGGGCTGGAGTTTGCTAACCCTGCTGTACTAAATAGTGAGACATGCTCTGGGGAATAAAAAACAGAGTTCAGAAGGGCTGGAAGGGCTGGGAGTTGCAATTTTAAATAGGGTGATGAGGGGCGGTATCACTGAAAAGGTGACATTTGATAAAAAATCTGCAGAGTATAAGGGAGTGAGGCACACAGATATCTTGGGGCAGCGCATTCTGGATAGAGGGAACAGCAGGTACAAATGTCCTGAGGTGGAGCTGTGTTTCAGAGACAGCAGGGAGGTGAGGGGGAGGAGGGAAGGGAGAGAACAGGGGCCTTGCAGACCACCACGGGGACTTGGGCCTTTTCTCTAAATGAGAGTAAAGGATTTTGAGCTGAGAGAAGATGCATCTGACTTGCATTCAGAAAGGATCCTTCTGGCCACTGTTTTGAAAATGGTCTGTGGTGGGGGTAGAGGGCAAGGACAGAGGCAAGGAGACCTGTTAGGGGTATTGCAATAATTCCAGCCTGAGAGAGGAAGGTGGCTTCGGCCTGGCCATGGGGTCCTGGTCATGGGGACAGTGAAAAGTAGCAATGAAGGTATGAGCCAAAGCCAAGGAACTGCCTGGAGTTTGTGGTTCCTGTTTCTCCACCATCATGGAGCAAGTCATTTCAGTTATAGAAAATAGTTTCTTTTTTTTCTTTCTAGCAGGCCTAAGTCATAGGATATATATTGTTTTGCCCATGACCAAATCTAGCCTGCAGACACATTTTAAGAAGCCTACTGTGTATGTAATTGGATCAATTGTGTTTTAAAACTGGGAGATTTCACATAAAAATGGAGAGGTTTTGGCTCTGAAAACTTGAAAACTGTTGCCACTCTGGGCCTGTGTTCTGGCTGGCTAGAGTCAGGTGGGGCCCAAGATCAAGGTCGTTGCCCACTTTACACGTGCTGTGGGCTTCTCGGGGTTGCCTGAGACTCATGCACCCCTGGCTTCTCACTCCTCATCAGCCTTATTACTTCTTGCTACATGTGAATTCCCTTAGGGCCTTTTAGTTTCTGAGCCTCAGTCTAAGTACCTTCATTGATTGAATCATTGACAGGTTCCCTGGTTCATTCATTTCTGCCTGGATTTATTGAACATCTCTGGATGGCTAGAGGCTGTGGACATAGCAATGAATGAGACAGACCCAGCCTCTCCCCTCTGAAGCTTAGAGTCTAGGGGCAGAAACGGGCATAACCAAACATGCAGTTGTGATGAGGCTGAGTGGAAGAGTGTATGGTTCTTCAATAGCACAAAATAGGGAGTTTGGCTGAAATGGGGCCAGGGAGTACTTCTTGGAGGAAGTTGTGGCAATTTAGAACCACATGCCCCAAGTTCTTTGACTCTCTTCCAAGGAAGAGATGGCCATATGTGCCCTTCCCTTGGAATCTTGGTTTTGTGAGTTGCTAAGCTATTAGAATGTGTTAATCAAAAGAAATTGATGTGATGCCTGTTTCTGGGCGTAGGCTCCACGAACTGGCAGCTTCTCCTTCTCATGTCTCAGGATGCTTACTGTTAGCACCCAGCCATGGCCATGCTGTGAGGAAGCTGGCAGCCTGTGAAAAAGCCCATAGGGAGAAGAACCATGGCTGCTGGGTCTCAGCTCTGGCTGAGCTCACAAGCTGACAGCCAGCTCCAAGTGGCCACCCATGTGGATGCACCATGTTGGAAATGGACCCTTCGAGCTGCCCCAGCTAGTAGTGCTGGAGACAGTCTTCCCCACTTGCCCAGCTCAAGCTGCAGATTTGTGAGCGAAATAAATGTTTGCTGTCTTGAGTTCTTAAGTTTTGGAGTGGTTGTTCATAGCAGCAGTAACTGGAACAAACACTGAGCTAAAATCTGTAGGTTTGAATGGGAATTAAGTAGGTGAATGGGATGGGGAAAAGCCCTCGGCGGCGGGGCGGCGGAGGGGGGCGCATATCATGAGTGCAGAAGTAGGGGAGTGTGTGCGGCTGGGGCAGAGGGAGAAAGAGAGGACTAGCCCAGCCAGAGTCTTGTGGCCCCTGCTCAGACTTTGGTCAGCCATCCAGGGTTTTAAGCTGAAAGCAATTTATGTGTCGAGAAGATCACTCCGGTTTTGTGTGGGGAATGAGGCCGAGGGGGGCAGAGGAGGCGGAGTGGGGACACACATTAGGAATTTACCTTTCTCCTGAGAATTCGAGGACAATCCTGCGGTTATAGAGTTAACTAAAAAATAGGACCAGAATCTAGGCCCCCTGATTTCCATTTTCACGAGCTCTTTATTCAACCCTAGAGCTTGGGGAGTCACAAGCAAATACATGGGCTTGCCTGGTTTTACTGGCCCAACTGTGTCCCCCAGTGTGGTTTAGATTACATAGAAATTAACCCAACTGTTCCAGTCCTTAATCTCTCGTTTTCTGTCCTCCCTCAGCCAGATAACAAGAAAAATTCTACCCCTTGTTTTTTTCACCTTTTCAGCTAAATCTGCAACTGAAAAACGAGGTCATTGAGCACAGTGGGAAAGACTGCTTGCAGGCAGAAATCTTTCGGGACATGCTTGATTTTCTTTTTCCCTTTGCCTACTTTGTCAGACTTAAAACTTTTGTCTGAAAGAATTTATCCTCTGGTCTTGGAGCCAGTGGGGGGCGGGGCGGGGAATAATCCCTCTTGCTTTTTATAATGCGCAAGATCAAATACCTTGTTAAAAAAGTATTTTAAATTAACACTTGTCTTTTTGATACTTCTGTGATTGGAATGATATTTATAGCACGTGGCTCTTAGATGAAATATGCTTTCGAGCCTGCCTGGAAATGAAGATTTTTAGCCATAAATCTGAGGATTTTAGGTAATTGAGGCCCAGAGAGATCAAATTCACCTTATTGCATAAAAATAGCTAATAGTTACTGAAGGCTTCTTGTTTAGTATGCCAGGCTCTGCACTAAGCATTGTTTCATTGGATCCTCATAACAAACCTGGGAGTTCGGTGCCACTCATGGGTGAAGGAGGCTCAGAGAGATAGGGTGACTGGCCCAAAGTTAAACAGTTGTTTGGGGGAAGTCAGGACTCGAACCCAAGTCCTGTGCTCTTAACCACTACTCTGTGCTGGTATGGAGAATCTCCCATTGCTATTTTATAACTCCTGCTTCCCCACCTGCGTTTGATGGCTACACAGCAGTCATGGCCTCCACTTTTATTTTAAAGATTTTATTTATTTATTTGACAGAGAGAGGCATAGCGAGAGAGGGAACACAAGCAGGGGGAGTGGGAGAGGGAGAAGCAGGCCCCCCGCCGAGCAGGGAGCCCGATGCGGGGCTCGATCCCAGGACCCTGGGATCATGACCTGAGCCGTTTGCAGACGCTTAACGACTGAGCCACCCAGGCGCCCCCTCCACTTTTATTTTAATAGCCAGACTTGTGCAGCTCCTAGAATCCACCAGGTAAGACACAAGGAGACCAATGTCTATGAGAAGAACAATCTCATGCATATTTAAGCTTATTAAACTTTAAATAATCCATGTCTCGCACATTGAAACATGGACGGGAGAAGAGAGAATCGTGTTCTATGACCACAGATTAAAACACCATCCAAACAAGGGAGACGTGGCAACAGAACTATTGAAAAAATTGTAGGAGAATCTTTAACAGACTTCTCTCCCCCTTCCCCAGCCCCTGTCCATTTGCCCAGTAATCTGAGCACAGCTCCTGCAAGAAAGAGCCCCAAGTTCATTCCTTCTCTTTGTATCATGGAAAGCCTGTCAGTTGGCTAGTGTCACTAGGAGTCCCGGGCTCTAAGCACCACCAGGCTCAGGGAAGGCAGACTTTGCACTAAGCTCTTGAAACCCTCATGGAATGAGTAAGAACCGCCTTACTCATCGAGTGGCCTTCTCTCTATCATGTGCCTTTATCCCATGAGCAGACTTCATTGGTGGCCCATTGAGTGGCAAGATGCAGGTGGGTCAGGTCATGACTTGCCTGCTTTCTTTTCACTCTGAAAATCATGGTTCCAAAAGATGACACCATCAACGCCCTCCTCTTTTAGCTCTGGCCTTCCTAACCAGAAATGCTGGCCACAGGAATTTTTACTGGGCTGATACTGATACCACGCCTTTTTCTGTTCAGCATTAAAAATCCTGCTCAAACGTCACACTTCTGGGGATTCTATCCAGACTCTCTTTTTGCCCCCTAACGTTGAGGGGATGGGGATTAGTGAAATAATAGAAAAGGTATCTACTGTTCTCTGCCCCTGGCTTCTGGCAAAGAGCTCCTGAAACCCTTGTAGTCTCCTAAGTGGTAATAGCACTAGGAACGTCTTTTGTTCTAATATTTGGTCTTAGACTGGTTCTTGACACAGAACTCCTAAATCCTTTGGAATTTCCTGCGTGGTAGGAACGTCTTTTGCTCTAAGGAGGCAACTCTTGGGTGGGCTCCTGGATAGCTTCAGGATGGGGGCTGGCCACCAGAAAGACCACACCATCTTTAGAAGCCTGGAGCTTAAAGCCCCACTTGCCATCCTGTAGGAAAGGGGAGAGGGGCTGGCGATTGAGTTAATGTTAGATCATGCCTATGCGGAGAAGCCACCATAAAAATCCCCAAAGTATGGGATTCAGAGAGCTTCTGGGCTTGGTAAATATATCCACGTAGCAGGAGGGTGGCACTCCCCAACTCCATGGGGACAGAAGCTCTTGACCTCACCCTATTTACCTCTTTATCTGGCTGTTCATCTGTGTCCTTTATTATATAATTAACTGGCAAATGTAAGTTAGTGTTTCCCTGGGTTCTGTGCACCACTCTAGAAAATGATTAAACCCAAGGAGTGGGTCAGGGGAACCCTGATTTATAGCCAGTCAATCAGAAGTACAGGTGACAGCCTGGGTGTTGTGGTTGGCATCTGATGTGGGGGGCAGTCTCGTGGGACTGAGCCCTTAACCTGTGGGATCTGATGCTACCTCCAGGTCGATAGAGTCAGAATTGAGTTGGATGACAGGATGCCCCACCAGTGTCTCAGAGAATTGCTTGGTGTGGGAGAAAACCTCACACATCTGGTGTCAGAAGTGTGAGTGTGGTCATGGCGTCAGAGTAAAGGAGAAACACACGGCAGGAGTGTGTTTCCTTTACAGGCACATTTATGGCCACTTCAGTGGGCACCCTCGGGTTGCTTTATTTGTGCTTATACTCTATGTGGTGGGGACTGTCCCGTAATCCTTTTCATATCTCAGTTACCCCAGAGGGCCTGCACATAGTAGGTCTTCAATAAATAATGGTTGGTTGTGCAGTGAGAAGGGGCCTGGAGCAGCATAGCCTCCTCACCCCCAAACTTACTTTGCAACTGGCTAAGATGAAGGTCCAAGACTGTATTACACTAAGGGGCCATTGATATCTCACTGAAGATCTTGTGCGGAAACAGAGAAATGGATTTACGCCTCACGCTATGAGGTAGAACCTCATAAAAATCCCCATTAGATGTCTCTGTTCTCTCCCAGTGCTGGCTGCTCTCTTTCTCTCTTCTCTCCCCCAAAGGGTCCCTCTGCTCACACTCTTGGCCAGTCTTCTGGAGGTCTCCATTCTGCCTCTTACGTAAAGCACTTCTGCTCTTTCTCTGTATCTACATATTCCCTTGAATACCCCAGCTCTCCAAAACAGGCTTCTCCTTGGGATACCGACCCCTGAAAAAGCATGGAGTGGGGATGGTAAATCACAGATATTTTCTCTCATCTTAGAATGGATAAATGAGTTAATAAATGAATGCACAAATGACAGCCCAGCTTATTTAGATGGACCCTTAGGGTAAAAGTAATCACAAACATTGGACAAAATAGAAAAAATAAAAATAAAAAAGCAAAGAGCTGATACAAAGTGGGAATCTCCAGACAACATGAAACCACATTTCTGAACCTCCAGACCACAGAGGTAAGCTAGCATGGGGGCTGCCCTGGTCTTAAGGACATTTGCCCATTTAGAAAAAGTTAACTTTCCTTCTAAAATAGCACACAGGGCAAGAGGAACAGAAACCATAGCCAAGGGTCTGCACAAATGAGGTGTCAAAGAGAAGACCCTTCTTATAACAAGCTGGGATTCCCAAGGGCCACACTTTCTGGGAGGAGTAACTAGAAATGTACCAGCCCCTCATGGTCTTGCACTTGGCGTTTGCAAACATCACCTGGAACCTTGAGCTCTAAGGAGATCCCCAACCATTAGCGTCCAGCCCCCTGACCCTCACCCCAGGACCTCACAGATCAGAACACGCCCCCTTTTTCAAATTAAGGTAGAAATTCACATAACATAAAATTAACTGTTTTAAAGTGTGCGATTCAATGGCATTTGAATTGATGGTTGTGCAACCATGAACTCAGTGTGGTCCCAAAATATTTTCATCACGCCCAAGGGAGGCCCCCTACCCATTAAGCACTCACTCCCCACTCCCCCACTCCCTTAACCCCTGGCAACCACCAATCTGCTTTCTGTCTGGAATAAACCTCAAAAACATTCTGGTAAGTGAGAGAAGCCAGATGCAGAAAGGTCACACATTATAGGATTTCACCGATAGGACCCTTGTTTTTAAGAAGCACATATTGAGGTGTGCCTGGGTGGCACAGCCAGTTAAGCATCCAACTCTTGGTTTCAGCTCAGGTCATGATCTAAGGTCCTGGGATCGAGGCCCACATCAGGCTCCATGCTCAGCACAGGGTCTGCTTGAGATTCTATCTCCCTCTCCCTTTGCCCCTCCTGCTCATGCTCTCTCTCCCTAAAATAAATAAATAAATCTTTAAAAAAAAACGAAAGAAGCACATATCGATACTTCTCTATATTAACACTGTGAAGAACAGAATTTGGGACATATTGCGGAGGAAAGGGGGTATCTGCTGTTGGTTCCTTTCCTCTGTAGCTGGCAACCTGGCAGTTTGGGTCCTTGAAGCCCTAGCAGAGTGATTCTCAACCTTGGCTCCACGTTGGAATCATTGTGGGAACTTTAAAACATACTCTGTCCAGGGAACACCCCCAGAGAATCTGATGTAGTTGACCTGGGAAGTACCCTGGGCATTAATATTTTGTGTTATTTAGTTGTATCTGTGGGATGAGGTGAGCTTTGGGTCCTCCTACTCTGCCATCTTCCCCTGGGCATTGGTATTTTAAAAACTGCCCAGGCGATTCTAATGTGTAGCCAGGGTTGAGACCACTGCTGTAAGAGGACAATGGCTATAGGGGTAGGCCATTTCTACCATCTTTCCTCTCCACCTGCCTCAGCACCTCCTTCCCATCCTGGATTTGTGCCTCATTCAACTCTAAAGTATCCTAGGAGTCTCTCCATGCAGAGTGGTGCAGCCTAGGACTTTTGGTGTCACTCAGATTGGGACTCAGGGAATGCTTTCTAACTTATGACCTTAGTCACAAGGGAATTATGTGAGCATTTCTAAACTTCATTCCTAATCTCTAAAAAGGGGGTGGGTAATAACAGTACCAGTCTAAGGAGTGTTTTGAAATTTAGATGAAAAGATGTGCATAAAGCACATAGTAGACACTCATTATAATTATTGTTGTGGTTGTTACTATCATAGTCCCCATTGCTATTGTTACGTGAATGGACATTTCATAATGGACCCATCTGTTGGTGGTCTTCTTCCAACCAGAGGAAAGACCTTTAGAGAAAGAGGGGGGCTACTTTATTCAACAAACCAACAAACATTTCTTGTGCACCTGCTTTGGGTGGACCCTGAGCTAGGATTCGGGGATGCAGCTGAAGGTCTAGAAGAGAGATACTAATGTGGGTTATAGTAAACCAGCACACAAACACATTACAGGAACCCTGAGTCTGAATGGGTTTTGGAGGGGCTTGATCTGAAGTCCAGGAAGTATCAGGAGAGGGCAGCATTCACCCTGGGCTTTAGTTGGAAGAGGATGTGGGGAAGGGTATTTAAGGCCCAAGGAACAGCGTGAGGAGAGGCCTAGGGGTAGGGGCAAGCCTGGTAAAGAGAGGGAAAGAGGCACATTTGGGGACCAGCAAGAGTTCTTGGATATAGCTCTTGGCATCAGACATGAGGAAGACATCTGTTGTAGAAGACACTCCACTGAGTGCCAAGAGGTGAGGCTGACAAGGTAGGTTGGAGCAGACTAAAAGAAATGGTCAGACACCAGCCCGAGAGGGGGCTTCCGGTCAGAGACAGCCACCATCTCCCAGCCCAGCCGGGCGGCTACACTCTGCATGGCCCTTCCCCAGACTGTCGGCACTGCAGATGCCACATCTACTTACGTCAAAAGAATTTCGCCATAATGGATTTCTGACATCTTTTTGGCTGGCTGGAATTTATGTCTTTCTTCCTCTTTGAGTTTCTGAAGTTGCTGTAGCTTCTTTTTCAAGGCACTCTCCTCTCGCAGCATGCTGAAGTATCCGCGGCCTATCTTCACCGACCGAATCAACACGCTGGAGGTGGGGGGGTGGGGAGAGAGGGAGGGAGAGAGCAACAAAGCTGAGCCGACCATTAAGACAATGCCATATTGTCCTGGGACTGCTCATCTCTGAAGGGCACCCTCATACCTGCAGGGCAGGAACCTTCTTGCCTTTGGAACTCCAGAGTCAGATGGACCTGACCTTGAATATTTAACCTCTCTGGTCTCAGTTCCTTCCTCACTCCATTATTCAACAAATCTTTATTGAGCACCTACTGTGTGCAGACACTCTGTTGGGTGCTATGAAATGAGCATAATGATCCACACCCCCACAGGATGAGACACATGTATGCATGGAAGGGGGCTCGTCCATGATAATCAGTAGCAGATCAGTACTGTAGGGCCCGGGCTCCTGGCCAAGGCTGCCTCCTCTGATTCCCCTAAATGCTTACATTTGCTTCACGCGCTTCACAGTGGCTGCAGAAGTGGAGTTAGTAAGGTGTATAGGTGCTTGCTCTCTCACGTAACCTAAGTTGAGACTTTGTGATTCTTTTCTTGCTGACTCCACCACTGTCCTCGTCAGACATCTTGATGCCAAGACATTCTGTGCCTGATGGTCTATACACCTCCCCCACTTTGCCATTTCTCACCTTGGGGTTAGAGTTTGGCAGCACTCTGTTGGAGAAGGAGTAAACACATCTCTCTGTCTGTCCACCTATTTGACTCTCTGGGAAGTTGTGGGAAATAAATTGCTGTTGTTTGTGAGCTGCACGGTCTGTGGTACCTCATTGTACCGGCTGGAACTGACTAGGACAGGTGAGTCCGAAGATGGCCCGTTCACGAAACTCCAAGTGTCTTCAAAAAGCTAGAGCACAGAAGGAATATGGGAGAGTGGCCAGAGCTAACGCTGGCAACTGGCCGGGAACAGGTGGTCTAGGGCTTTGGAGTCTGGACTGAAGCGAGCCCCCATCTGGGAGTTGCTAGAAATAGAACTTGTACAAATGCTTCAGGAATCTGCAAATGTTTGATTTTTCATGAACAATTTTTCAAGCTAATAACAATGCAAAACCACAAAACATCCTGTTTTACACCAGATCGATTCATCTTGTACAAGCTTTTCCTGCCATTTCTATTGTGTTGACCAATTCTGCAATGCACATTTTTTCCACATCTTAACACGTTTGAGACGAGGGTGTCTTATAGTCACTGCCAGCCAGATGGCAGTTGTATTGTGTTTGTCATCATCTACACAGTCAAACTTGGTTGTGACTCCGGACAGCCTGACCACACAAAAGCCCCCCTTGATGTTTTAGACCACAAAACCACTGGATCATGAGCTGGGGTCTGAAACACCCCCCCCC